TGCCCAAGATATAAGCTAACACTGTGAACATCTACTGTGTTTACTATCTGCTGAAAAGAAATCCAGATAACACTTCCAACAATGGAACAAGACATTCTCAAGAATATTCAAAACATTATATTTAATGGAATACACCAGATAAAAGCAGAGATGGATCAGCTATTTGAACAAATTAAAGATGTAGGGACACAAATGGAATTTACAGTGAAGATGGAGAAAAAAAACAGAACTGCAGTAGGAAATTAGCTTTTTAAAACCACAGAGGCAGACAATTTTATATTCAAACCCCAGAAGCCTTCAGAAGAAAAAGATGAAGATACAGCACAGCGGAGAGCCAAACTCTTAACCCCTCTCATGGAAATATCAGCACTTGTGGGTAGGCGTGTCGTGCTTTGCGCAGGGGCGTCATGCTGGTACACATGCACGTGAGCGTGAAACGCCCACCGTGTGTGCGTGCAAGGTGCCGGAGATCCGTGTCTGCAGCCCAGTTCAAGGAAGCTCACAGACCGGCACCGGGCTGCAGACCGGGGGTTGGGGACCCCTGCTCTAGATGATCAAAAGATGGAAACGTTTAAAAGGGTATTTTGTGGTGAAAAAATATATGATAAAATGGACACAAACTAATGGTTATATAACATTGATTTAGAACAATAGACATAAATTAGCAGAATAATATCAAACCTATGAACTTAATAAGTTTAAACACAAAAAGAGATGGTCCAAGAAAACGGAAGATTATATATCTTGGAAAATTGTTTTAATGTTTCTTTTTCTATGTATGATTTCCCTTTTTAATACAATTGTATAAGCAGATGTAAGAATGCTTTTCACTCCCTGGAATTTTACCCTTTCCTACCCTTCCTCCTTCTACCCCTATTCCTACCATAACCCCTATCTCTATTAAAAATTAATAACAAGCAAACAAACAAATAACATGCCCATCACTCAGTTTGAAGAGAGCCACTTCTACAGGAATAGGATTTCCTTCACAGCAATGGCAATTCCAAGTGGCCATGCTTCCTTTCTATCTCTGTGCAGGAAATCCTGCATGCTCTGATGATGGTACCCTCAGGTTGAAAAATACATCTACTGCCAGGTATGCATCATTGTTGAGAGTGGAATAAGACCTATATATTATAGTTGCTCCTTCAAAGATTCAGTAATGAATGCCAGAAGAGGACTCTTCCCAATGGCATATAAATTTAGGGTGGCCAGATCTTTACCACTCTTAAGTCAAAAGATGCTGTGCAACCATTTCACTTTTTTCCGTAACTAATTTCATCTGGAAAGAAGTTAGAAAAAATGCTGGAAACAAGGAAGTATTGGACACAGAAGACAATATTGTGAAATGAACACCTCTCCTCCCAAACTTCCAAGAATAAGACATGACAATTGCACAATAAAATCTCGCTGTAGGTGAACTTTACTGAGCACACAGAGTTCGTAGTTGTTCTGCATTTCTGTATCTTCCACCAGATACTCATTTATTGCTATCGGCATCAGGTGTAATATAAGGAAAAAGATTGGTAACCTGTTTCTTTATTGCACAGTTATTTTGAAACTCAATAAAATGTCAGAGCAGGAAAAAATGTCTGGAACTTCTCTGTTACAGACGAAACAGAGGGTGATACTCATTTTATTAATCCTTCTGTCCATAGTACTGTATTAAGAAGTCAGAAAAGCTTGCTTGCTTCATTTCCTAGCAAACAATATTTTACAATTCACCTGTTAGGAGATGAAGTGAAAACAATTAGTTTGGCAAAGGTTCTGATTGCAGTTGCAGTGCCAAAACTCATAATGAAGTTCATTCAAAGCATCAAAAACATGGCATTTCTTGTCTTGTGCAAAAGGGCTAATTTGTTTTACTTCACTACTTCTCTTCTGTAAGTATACACAGTTGTTGTTGGGAAAAATACTGATTTTTAAAATACATTCTTATCATCAGGACACTGAATGATAGGCCATATGTGCAAGACCTATATAGTGGTGTCTTGCAAGACAAATGCCTCGCAAGACAAAAAAAACTAGCAAGACGAATGGTTTTGGCAATGGGGTTGATGACTCGCAAGACAAATGTTCCTATGGCCATGCTTTGCAAGACAAATGTTTTCCGTTTTTTGTTCCTGCCTCATGTTTGCTGATTTTTAAATGTTTTTCTATGATGTTTAAAAAGTTAAAGTTTTTTGATTGATGTTTTTTAAATCATCCGCACAATATGTATGGCTTTAAAGAGCACTTAATACACCCTTAGTAAACCAAATTTGACTTTGTTCTGACTTTTTTTGCCCATAAGAACACATTAATTAGATTTCAATGCATTCCTATGGAAAAATGCGTTTTGCAAGATGAATTTTTTGCAAGACAATATTAAGCGCGGAACGATTTAAATTCGCCTTGCGAGGCACCACTGTATATTTACATTATGTATCAACTCCTGTTGTACAGCTCTGCATCAGCAACAGTGATGATGCTACCGCAGAGCAAATCACTGCTCATTAAAGGCTTTCTTTGACAATTATGGAGAGCACTACAAAAAGACAGAAATACTTGGATTTATCTCAGGATGCTAAGAATTCCTTGGGCTGACAGAGTGTTTAGCAAAGAAATACTAACATAATGAATAAAAGCCAAGAAATCACAGAAAGCAGGAAAGAGAAGAATGTATTGGCTGAAGACTGTGGGAGACTGGTTTGGATGCAGCACAACACCCCAGTGCAGAATTGTTGCATCCAAACACAATATAGCCACAATGATGCCAAGCCTCCAACAAGTAGGAAGAGACTGCAGACTAAAGGTTTCAGGTTATGTTTAGAGATGCTAGGACAAAGAAATGATTCCTTGACTTTTAAATTACATAATTCTATACAGTTATTTTTTGTTTCTGTTCACTGGATGGACAGATCCTGAAGCCGAGGCTCCAATACTTTGGCCATCTCATGAGAAGAGAAGACTCCTTGGGAAAAGACCCTGAGGTTGGGAAAGTGTGAGGGAAAGAGGAGAAGGGGACGACAGAGGATGAATTTGACCCAAGTCCGGGAGGCAGTGGAAGACAGGAGGGCCTGGTGTGCTCTGGTCCATGGGGTCACGTAGAGTCGGACACAACTTAACGACTAAACAACAACATACAGTTATTCTTAATAATATACAGTAGTAGTGAGAAGAGGTACTGGAGGTAGAACTAATAGGTATATCTTTGTTATCACCAGTTACAGCTGTATCAGTTTTCAGCCTGCAATGCTTGCATAGGACTAGTGAGACGTAATTCCAAGACCAAAAAGTGAGCACTTGGGAAATATCCATTTTTTCTATCCCTCCTATGAGGGTTACACAAAACCCCTCCCTGATGACTTCTAGGCAGACAGTGAAAACATTTCTGCTTAGCTTTTAAGTGTTTTTAGTTTGGGGAATGAAGGTTTTAAACAAGAGTGCAATAAAGGTGGATCCAGAAGGGCCTGGCCTACCGAGTTATTTGCAAGGAAACATACAAAACCTGTAATCCTCCAATGGTGTCTAACCTGACTTCCTATCAACTCCAATCAGCATCACTAATGGCGAAGGATGGAGGGCACTATAGTACAACAACATTTGGAGGGGTTCCCTACCCTTGTTCTAAAGCCTGCTTGGCTATAATAACTGTGTAGTCTCAGTAGTTAACCTTTAGCATTTATTGTGTTAGCAGAAGACAATATTTCAAAGTATTTTTAAAAAAACTTTTAAAAACCTTAAACCAACTGTTTTAAATAGACACACACCATCAAATAAACCACAGGACGTTTCCAAATGCCTCAGATTTTTGTTGTGTATCTGACTGAATTGCCTAACGCCATGAGTATTTACTAAGGCTGTGCCAAACTTTTCAGTCTATTTCTTTTTGACTGTTCACTGGGGAGAGAAATAAAAATAATTTCTCAGAATAAAGGGCCTCGGAGCTTACTCTCCTGCACTAAAGTGGCTGTATGTGTGTTTGTGTCTCTGTGTGTGCTGTTCTTAAAAAGGATATATATATATATATATATATTTCTTTTTAAAAATATCATGCTGTTTTTAGAAGCTCCATTTGTATTGTGAATACCCACTGGGATTTGGTCCAATATACTTTGCTGTTCTAATCTGAATGAGTTACCAAGCAAGTCCGTTGTTTTTTAATGGCAGTTTTTACTGGAATGAAAGTATACTATTGGCATTAGGAACCATCAATGTGCTATATATTCAAGGGATTTCTATTCTCAACTTCAGCGATCCCTGAATAGCTTTCAATCTCAAGATAAGAATGTGAAACCCAGAGGTATAGACTAGACAGGTGATGTCTAAGCCACAGTAACAGTACAACAGAAATCATTTTGTTGAACATTATTCAGGTTAAAAAACTTCAAGGCTCTTTCCATATTTGTTACTGATGAAAATCATTCCTGAGGTCATGAAAGGGTGGGAAATTTTTCAGAACACCCTTAGTATTTAATGTTGAACAATGGCCCACAAAGAATCACAATTTGATTGAAGTTGTTGGGTTACATTTCTGAATATGCAGTTCATTCCCTTTGATGAAGAGAAAGCAAGCAAATAATTTAGTGGAATGGGGAAAATATGACATTGCCTAAGGTGTCTAACCTGACTTCCTATCAACTCCAGTTGACATTGCCTAGCTTCTTTTTGAGTTAAAATTCCAACTTTTGTGTTAATTTGTTTATTCTGAATGATTGGTTTTACTATTATTGTTGTTGTAGATCTTCCTTCCTCCCTCCCTCCAATTTCTTTTTGGTAAATCATTTTTGGTCCCTTATTCAGGCAAAACATTCTTGAAGATTACAAAAAAAGATAAATAGTGCTGCACTCTTTTTCCCCTCAGAGCATTCCAAAGACTTTGTAAGCCCAAATGGTCAATGTTTTTCATTAAAAAGACGTGTGCCATATCTGAAGACTTTCCTTATTTTGAACAGACTCTGGCACCCCACTGCCCATGCCATTGTCAATATGAGTCTGCTATACCCTTCATTGTTTACCTTCATTTTTCCTGTTGTTGAGCTGGTTGGACTGCTCTGTAAACTCTGCCAGTGACTCCTCGATAGTCTCTGTCCGGGGAACAGAAAGAGAAAAACGCCGCTTGAAAGTTATCATCTTATTCATTGTGTCCAATAGAACAAGGTGACAGCAAGATCTGTTGGGAGAAAAGTGGGGAAAATGGTGAAATTAGAAAATTGCATTAGAAAATAGCACACTTTACTGATCTACACACAGCGAAAAATACCCTGGTGCCACTGAAATTACAAAGCCTTGAAACCCACACCCCCACTAAAAGACAGTGTTAAGTTTAGAAAAAAATCAAATATACAAGTTTCGATTAGGTATGGTAGCAGCAATATTTTTAAACACAGAACTTCTTGATTCTTACTTGGCCATCTATGTGACCCTCTTTTAAGTCTGGGTGAGATTAATCATGTTCTGCCATTGTGGCAAGAAATGGGGCTGGGTGGGATCTCATGGCTTTTCCTCAGAAAATAGCTCAACAGATTGATTTGAGACTTAAAAGTGTAATTCTGAAAATGGTCAGTACCAAACTGGAAGCAACAAGGACAAGAAATGGCTTATTTCTAGGAGTTTAAAATGTGATGACTAACCATCACACTTTACGAGATGATATTTTCTTGGAGCGTTTTTTTTTTACCCTTACTTTGTTGGTGCTGGACAGTTAATTAGTTAAAATGTGATGACTAACCATCACACTTTATGAGATATTATCTTGGAGTGTTTTTTTTTACCCTTACTTTGCTGGTGCTGGACAGTTAATTAGTTATGCACTATCAAGTCAGAACTGACTTACAGTGACCCTACAAGGCTTTTAAGATAAGTGAGATATTTAAGGAGTGTTTTACCAGTGCCACTCCCTTGGTCAGTGTCCATGGCCAAGCAGGGCTTCAAACCCTGGACTCCCGAGTCCTAGTCTGTCATGCTATCCACTACACTGCCATGGGCACCACCACCCTCATTTACCCAGTGCTAAATATTATATGCTTATCTCAGTCAGAGGTGAAAGACAAATGCTTCCTCAGCATTTTTGTGAATATATTAGTCTCCCCCTTCCTACTCCTTTTATTCTACAGTGAGATATTTCACACTGGATAATCTAAGAACATGCATCTCCAAAATCTTTGCCAAGAGGGAGTTTTGGTGGCACCCTTCAGAATATGTGCAAGGGAATGGAGTTTCTACCAACATGCTCACTTCAGAAAATTTCCAAGTGGAGATATGCACAGGTCCAATAGGTTGCTCATACGATATGCAGACACTATGAAGAACTCTCTAATATTTGCAATAAGTAAAGGGAGAGGGTTAAACTGCAGCCAATTACTTCTAAATCATGACTGTACATTTCAGCTGGCAACTGGGAAGCCTTGAAAGAGTTACTTTTTGGGACTCAAGAAGCAGGATTCTGGGAACTGTAGTTTGAAAAAGTGATTTCTACAATTTCTGATAACTGGTAAAAATATACTGAACAATATTCACAAAACCTCAGCCTCATGAAAAAATGCTATTTCTTGCAACAAGGAGAGCTTTCAAGTACTACAAAAGAAACCTCACAAAGTGGCTGCTTTTTAATCCAAAGGAGCAAGCTGTAAACACTTTTTGGATACCTATAGATATGCTGAGAGATCAATCATACACAGTGGCAACATTCCTATGACATAATAAGCAATAATATGGTCTACAGTCCCATGCAAAAACACCCACTGTGTCATTTTCACACCAGCATGAGGCATGAAAATCTGAAGACAAAATCTAATTTGGACATCAATAATATGGACATGATTTTGCATTTTGCTTATCAATTCGCAAAATTGTCCCAAGAATTACCAAGATCATTTGGGACCAATTTGGTGGTTTGTAAGAACATCCTCTGAAAGATTGAGATTAATTATTAAAGTGCTATTTGTGTGTTTGAGAACCAGACAGATTAAATAGAGAATAAGGGCATTCTTCATGCATTTCAATCATCATCCTCAGGTAGATGACAACTTTCTGAGGAAGAGAGATCTCTCTAGGTGAGAAGGCTGTGCAATCTAGCACTCTGAACTGGATAGAAAGTTCACGTGAAGAGATGTGAAGAATGGACACGTGTGAAAGACAGGTGGGGCTGGAGACCTCTCCTTCCTCAAATGTTCACTCAACCCAGTTCTCGGAACAGTCAAAATAAAGCTAAACACAAACAATTCAAAGCAAAAACTAAAATAAAAAACATACATAAGCTCATCATTCAGTTTCCTATCAGCCTGCTTTCATTTTAATCAGGTCATCTTCCTTTGCCTTTACCTGAGAAATGATTCACTCTAAAAACATCTGCAGATGATTACTGTCTACAATTTCAAACTGGCTCACCTTTCTCTCATATATTCAGGCTAAATTTTAATCTAAAACTAACAGCAACCTGAATTCTCAACTGTTTGGAGTGGCTACATAAAAATGCTATGGTATCTCTCAACATAGCAGGCATGTCCAGTCTTTAAAGTACAATACCCATATTTCAGTTCAAAAGATAAGCTGGCAAACTGAGCTGTACATCAAGTGGGGGCAATCTAATCTTTTGCCAAGGGCTGCATTCCCTCAGGAGTAATCTATTAGGACCACATGCTGTCAGAATAGGTTTGAAACCAGTGATGGGCAGAGTCGGAAACAAAAGTGGCCAGGGCTATCTCTTTTCTCATTGCTTTCAATGCCTTCTTCTGTGCCTCAACAACTTGTCCCCCCCCCCCCGACTCATTGACTTCCAGGAGAAAGACAGGATACTCTTCTCAGATGTATGAACTGACTGCTAAGCAACCATTTCTGATATTATGCAATCAACCACATTAAATGACATATAAATGTTACTTGCTGTAAATTGACATATGTATTAATAGACATGGCCAATAACTGCCTGAAAACTAATGACATACATTAGTAGATGTTATCAACAACCACCCCAAAACTAATAGGAGACATTAGTAGGTGTGACCAACAACTATTTAAAAACTAATTGAAAACAGATGAAAGAGTAGAACTAATGGAGGAAGAATTAATGGAGGTAGAACTAATGAATGGAAAAATAGAGCACCATCAAATACACAGAATTACACAAGAAAGTTCAAAACAAAATTAGGAAAGTCAAAGTAAAATGGTGATCCAAGTAACATATAAAAATAGAAAATCTAGAAAAGATCTAGAATCCTCAGTGGTTTAGGTATCTAGGTGTGGAGCCAGAGATTGAGAGTTCAATTCCACACTGTGCCTCCTTGTCAGGAGCTGAGCTTGATGATCCATAGGATCCCTTCCAGCTCTACAGTGCTAAAAACAGTTGGTTGTTGTTGCAGTTGTTTATAAGAGCATCAAAGAAGGTAGCAGATATCTTTTAAAAATCGCAGTGTTCAATACCAATTGTTGTTTAGTCGTTAGGTTGTGTCCAACTCTTCGTGACCCTATGGACCAGAGCATGCCAGGCCCTCCTGTCTTCCACCGACTCCCAGAGTTGGGTCAAATTCATGTTGGTTGCTTCGATGACACTGTCCAACCATCTCATCCTTGGTCGTCCCCTTCTCCTCTTGCCCTCACACTTTCCCAACATCAGGGGCTTTTCCGGGGAGTCTTCTCTTCTCATGATGTGGCTAAAGTATCGGAGCCTCAGCTTCAGGATCTGTCCTTCCAGTGAGCACTCGGGGTTGACTTCCTTCAAAATGGATGGGTGAGTTCCAGGGGACTCTCCAGGTTCTTTAATTCCTCCTCACTTTCTGCCAGCCGAGTGGTGATATTTCTTCCAGCAATCTTAATTCCGGCTTCAGATTCATCCAGTCCAGCCTTTCACATGATGTATTTTACATATAAGTTAAATAAGCTGAGGGACAATATACAGCCTTGTCATACTCCTTTCCCAATTTTGAACCAATCAGTTGTTTCATATAGAGTTCTAAATGTTGCTTCCTGTCCCACATATAGATTTCTCAGGAGATATATAAGGTGGTCAGGCACTCCCATTTCTTTAAGAACAACTTGCCATAGTTTGCTGTGGTCCACACAGTTAAAGGCTTTTGCGTAGTATTCTTGCCACCTCTTCTTGATGTCTTCTGCTTCTGTGAGGTCCCTACCATTTTTGTCCTTTATCATGTCCATCTTTGCACAAAATGTTCCTTTAACATCTCCAATTTTCTTGAACAGGTTTTCCCCTTTCTATTATTTTCCTCAATTTCTTTGTACTGTTCATTTAAGAAGGCCCTCTTGTCTCTCCTTGCCATTCTTTGGAAGTCTGCATTCAATTTTCTGTAACTTTCCCTATACTCCTTGCATTTTGTTTCCCTTCTCTTCTCTGCTATTTCTAAGGCCTCGTTGGACAGCCACTTTCCTTTCTTACATTTCCTTTTCTTTGGGATGGTTTTTGTTGCTGCCTTCTGTACAATGTTACGAGCCTCCATCCAAAGTTCTTCAGGCACTCTGTCCACCAAATCTAGTTCATTAGCTCTGAAGTTACTTGTACTTATCCTCCACTCTTCCTCAGTAGCACGTTGGACACCTTCCGACCTGAGGGGCTCATCTTCCAGAGTCATATCTTTTAGCCTTTTGTTTCTGTTCCTGGGGTTTTCTTGGCAAAGATACTGGAGTGCTTGCCAGTTCCTACTCCAGGTGTATCGTGTTTAGTCAGAACTCTCCACTATGACCTGTCCGTTTTGGGTGTCCCTGCACTGCATAGCCCATAACTTCTTTGAATTACTCAAGCCCCTTTGCTACAACAAGGCAGCAATCCGTGAAGGGGCAGTTGTGGATAACCACAGTTAATTAAAGAGGTGTCGGTCTACATGCAGATTATGCACTTGAGCACATTACCAGACACACAACAGAGATGCACCTTGACACCTCATTAATTAGCTGTGATTAGCCTTAACAAGTTACACAAACCTTATGGAAACACCAGAAGGATTCTGGCCATTACATATAGCAGAGTACACTATGATCTGGTAACTGCTTTTCCTGCTGTCTGGCTGCTCTTCTTGGACAACTGAAGCCCTCTGTTCACCCTTCATACAGTTCTTTTTCTTTCAATTAACCCCTTAGATAAAGCAAGGGTGGGAAATATGTGGTCCCTGAGGGTACCCAGTGTACCTTTCCCCCAATTTAAAGTCCCCTTGTGCCACATCC